CTGATGGGCACTTAGGTTGTTTTCATATTTTTGCTATTGTAAATAATGCTGCAATGAGCATATGTCTATTCATGTCACTGCTCTTATATCTCTAGGATATATACCTAGGAGTGGGATTGCTGTATCATCAGGTATTTCTATTTCTAGCTCTTTGAGGAAAGACCATACTGTTTTCCATAGTGGTTGTATCATTTTACAATCCCACTAGCAATGTACAAGAATTCTAATCCTCCTACAACCTCTCCAGTATTTGTTGTTTTCTGTTTTTGTTTTTTGTTTTTTTTTGATAATTGCCATTTTTGCAGGCGTGAGATGATTTCTCATTGTAGTTTTGACTTGCATCTCTCTAATGACTAATGATCACGAGCATCTTTTCATGTATTTGTTGGCTGCCTGAATGTCCTCTTTGGTGTAGTGTCTGTCCATGTCCTTTTCCCATTTTTTGATTGGATTGTCTTTTTGTTGTTGAGTTATGCTTTTTTAAGGAATATTATCTTCACATATTTCTAAACATCTTTGATTTTTTTTGAGATAGAAACTGAATCACACACAAGAGTTTTTGTGCATTTGGCATCTCTCAATCAGCTACAATTAAAGGTCTAGGCAATCTTAAAACCACTGATTGATTGGAGATTTTCGGCCAGATTTTCAGATGAGTTGAAAGTGGCTAGATTCTAGAACGGCCATGGAAGCAAATCATACGTAGAGGTATCTGGCAATGCCTGCATTAGTTTAGTCTACATGGAATTAAAAAGGAAGAGGAGTAGAACTACATCCTTAGCTAACCAGTTCTTCAGAAAAATTCACAGCCCAGGTTGTGTCAGATTTGGTGGACTGGAAGAGAGCTGGTTCAAGAATTTAGCTCCACAAATACTCTCAACTTAAAATGGATTAATCTTAGAGTTTTTGTCAGTTTGTTTTCCTTCTTAGCTGTTCCATGATACTTTGTATTTTCCAAGGTGCTTCTATACTTATAATTTCATGTGCCCCATGGATAATTTGGGAAGTTAGTGAGGGCAGATGGTATTTCCATTTAACAGATGAGAAATTAGAGAGATAGAATGTCTTATCCTGTTTTAGATCATGAGCCAGCGATGTACCTAGAATTGGAACACAGGTCTCTGGCTGCTTCTCTGGTGATGTAAACATAACTGAATAATGTACTCTATAATCAAAGACTTATTAACTTAGATGATTTCCAAGTTCCTTATAGACATGATGAGTCTTC